TCATACAGGTTTTCTAGTTCTCACTAAGAATAACAAAATAACCCGATCCAAAGAAATTTTGATCAGCAGTCGTCAGAGGAGATTTTATAATAAAAAAAAAATATTAAAAATACTGCTAAGTCTATAAAATTAACAGAAAATATAGAAATAAGAAAAAATATATTTAAGAAATGTTACCTCAATTGTGATTATTGAAGATAATAATAAATTAATTTTATATTTTAATTTTTTATAATAAATTTTTTCATGTTTAGAAAATAGTTTAAAATAATAAAAATTTATCGCCGAAATTATTATCGAAATAAAAATTTTTATGATAGAAAGTATTATGTCAAATATATTATTTGAACTAAAATATAAATTTCTTAATACGACGTTAAAAGATAATAAATTTTCCAATATTTTTTGGTCGTGAAGTTGAATTTGTATTGAAAGTAAAGTTATTTTTCTTTTTATTTTAATATATAATTTAGTTTAGAAATTTGAAAAGAAAATTTTATAACATAGTTTATTTTATGGTTACGAGATTTTAACTTGGTTCATTGTTTACTTAAAATCAAACGATAGATTTCTTAACTTCCATCACAAGTTTATTTCGATAAAAACTTTTCTTTAATGGATCTTTCACTCAAACTAGTTTAACCAAACTTTTGATATTTTTTCCTCAAAACATTTTTCTTAATAATCTTGATAACATAAAAAGTATTTTTACCAAAAAATATCGCTCTTTTCTTTTTTTTGTTAAACTATATTACAAAATAAGACGATCAAATCCGATTAAAAACCGTTATTTATAAAATAAATCAATTTTTTATTTATAGTTTAATTGATGATTAAACTTTATCAAGTATAAAACTCGATCAGATTACAGTTTTTAATCTATATAAATTTAAAATGTTCACAATAAAAAATGTTATTTTAATGTAATTAGTTTTTATTTATTTATTTTTACATTTAGTTTTTCTGTGGTGAAAAACTATCAAAACATCAAATTATAATACTGTATAACTGTTTACGAATTATTCCAAATTATAATTAATGAGAAAACTAATTAAGAGATTAAAGCATTAATAAGATAGTAGAAATTTAAAATAATTCTTTAATCTCATATCAGTGAAATTTACTATACTTTATATTTATTTAAATTTATATATGACATTAAATGCACGATAAAGATAAATTCTAAACCTGTCAAAATGATTAAAATTTAATATTAATTGTTTAACATTAAACCTATGATCACGCATTTATTCATATTAAAGTTTTCAAATTTAATAAACAATTTTTTTTTAATCTATAATAANAGAAAACATCTCATAAACTAATGTGCTATATGGAGAAAGAGAAATTAATGCGAACTTTTCCCATTCTTCATTCATCCAAGATCGATATTATCATAGTCTATGTTTGGAATTTCTTTTCTAATCTTTTATCCACAAACAGCTTCCTGTCCTATCTATAACATCCAATTGTCCACTCACGTCAAATGTCTCGTATTTTAAACTTTTCTATTTTCTCCTGAACAACTAAATTATACGTTTCTAAACTTTATATATTGTACGTAGATGTACTGTAAAATGTAAGAAAATATTCAAAATCTTAAAAATTTTATTATTATTATTATTCTTAAATGGCATTTAATTTAAAAAATTTACAGAGTTAATAAAGTTTAATATTTTAATTATTTAAGTAGATATTCTAAATTAAAAAAAAAAAAAAATTATTTTGGCTTCTTAATTTACCACTCATTTTTGAAATTTGTTTTTAAAATAAACATTTAATTTCGATTATTTTTCTAAAATAAATTATAATTTATTAGGTAATTATCAGTTTTTAAAATGTTATTTCTTACTTCTGAAATAGAAGTATGCATTTTTTTTCTTCTTAACTGAAATTATCTTTAAAAATAAAATACTTTACATTAGTTGAATAAGCATTTTAAAAAGAACTTTTTAAAACTTAATGTTTACATATATAAGATTAAATCATCTTTAATTAGTAAAAGAATTTTTTGAATTAAAAAGTCCTTTGCCAAGTATAATTAAATAATTATCTTTAACAAATCACCAATATTCAGTGATGCCTGAATAAAAATGAAAATTTATATTACGCTTATTATTGTATTAAAGAATTTTAATGATATTTATAACAATTAAAGAGAAATACTTTCGTGAGATAGTTTGATAGTGCATTGAACTTTCCACTTTGATGTCTATAGTAATCAAAGCGTTAAAAACGGAAGAAACGGTAAGAAAAGCGATCATGTAGCGTGATCTGAAAAATAATAATTTTGATACAGTTTTTTGCTGTTCTTATTAAATTAAGCGTTAAAATAATTATTTAATATGAACATTTTAAAATTCACGAAAGGCGCATTTTAAAATGGTAAATATTTCAAAAATATAAACAGTGTCAGAATACTAAAAATTTAACTTCATTCAAATGTCTTTGTTTAAAGTTAAAGTAAAGAATATTAAGAGGAATAATATAGCTTAGAATTAAATTGTTTTTTTCTTTATAGAGTTATAATTAATATAAACATGTTTATCTGATTATTGAAATGATTTTTAAACTAAAATATAAAATATTTCTTGGAAAAGAATTTTGTTTCGAAGCGGTTTAAAATCCATTTTTATGGATCGTTTTCTTTCAGTCTTAAGGGGATGAGAGAGAAAATCCGAAGACACCAACACAAGTGAAATTTTAAAAAAATTCATTTTATAAGTTTTCCCTTTTTTCAATTTTTATTTCAGTTTTTGCATAGTCAAACAAATGAAGTGAATTTTTAAAAAAGTTAACGAAAAACAATCTTTCTTTAGTGATAAATTTTAAATAATCAGAATGCCAAAATTTTATTTTATAGCCAGTAAATGAACAGAAGTGCAGTACTTATCCAAACTTATTACATACAAAAGACCTTTATTGTTAGAAAAAAATTGAGAAGCGCTAGTTGAAATTGACTCAGATTGATCTAAATAGCGGGTTTATAGCTAAAAGAAATCAAGCTATTATACTTGGCCTATATAAACGGTGTGTAAATCTAAACTGAACAGAGTTTGGCCAACTGGATGGTCTTCGGTTCAGTAACTCATACACTCGGGATTTACTGTTGTCACCATCGATCTTAAGACGGTTTCCTATTAATGGCGTATCATTTCCTCTTCGTATATTCTTCCGTATTGCTTTTAACTAGTTTCGGAAGATGATTTATGGAAACTTTTAATGATAATTTTAATGCTAAGTGAGAACATTATCTAGTTTTTCTCGGTTTATTAATAATACAACACAATGAAAATGAAAATTTTAAGTGTAACTGTACACTGGGTACCGATGAGGATTACGCATTAGTCGTATTTATATAATGGAAATCGCATCTAAAGTTTATTTCTAGAGTGTTTTTTTCTGTACAGAAATAGTGGTTTATACAAATAAATTTCGATAATGATGATATTGGAACGTTCTCTGCAGGAAAGTTCCGGGTTAAGTGTTTCTTTCGTCTAGTAGATGTTTAAGCTTTCTTAACAGGATCATAAATCTTATCAACGACAAGAATGAGCGACCATAAACCGACTCTGCGATAGCGTTAATGTATATCGCTTCTTGATTCCATAATTCATCAGCAGAACTACCATTTTACTACTATATCAACATACTGCTTAGTTCTTAATTCAACTTTGATGATTATCCCATCTGCTGCTGAATCGAAATCTAGAAATCTCGAGTTATATATAGCACTTCTGTTTTTATTAATGCTAAAAAACGATTTTGTAAATCTTCATTTGTAACACAATCGCTTAAAAATTTTCTTAAGAGATAAGTTATATATGTTAATGTATTTTAAAGCTGAAACCATAATGCTTCATAAATATCTTTGAGAGATAATAAATGTTAAATTTTGTTTTAAAGTATTTTAAATGAGCATCCTACTAATAAATTGTATTTAAAGAACTCCTGGGAGCTTAGAAAAAGTTAAGCCATGGAGAACATAAACTGTTATAAGAAAATATTTAAAAAATACTCTATAATATAATTTGAAATATGACTGAATTGTCTTCTTTCAATAAGAAAACATCTCATAAACTAATGTGCTATATGGAGATTGAATTCTTATAAATAACAGTTTAATTAGCATTATATGTTATGTTGTTATGCAATGATATTAATAAACAGCATTAAATGACAATAATCAAAAATTAAAATTTCATTCATAACATTTTTACTATGTTGCATGCAAAATGCAACAATGCAAAATGCAAAAATTTTTTATAAAACAAATTCTTATTTTAGTTTAAGTGTTGTGTTAGAATGTCATTTATCTCAAATGTATTTTAAAAATTACCTGCATCCTTGCTGTATAATTTAAATTTAAATTTCTGATTTTAGTATATATTTTTGGCATTCTATGTTTCTATTGGCTTAAAGGATTGTGAATGGAATTTCAAATTTGTACCTCTTTTGTGATGTATTCCCTTAGAGTAAACAAATGTTTCAGTTGAAGAAAACGTTAATAGTTCTTTAGTTTTTTTGAAGTTTTATTCACTTAGTTAACATCACTCCTATCATTTGTTACTGCCTTGTTTTAACATAAAGCTCCAGATGTTGTTAAATGCAATTTTATGACAGTAGGCTTATTAAGTTGTGATAATGATTAAAATTTGAAGTTTAAACAAGAAAAAAATTGTCTTCTAGTTGCTTGATTAAATCAACTTAATACATATTAATGATTAATTCAGTATGACAGAATATTCATCACTTTAATCATATATTTAAAAAAATCAATATGAAAAAAGTAAATCTACAATTTGTATTTTTATTAATGATTATTAAATGTAGGTTTAATCCTTCATTTAGAATAATTAATCAATGCTTATTTTGTAGAAAATTAAGTTTAATTAAAATTATTATATTCTTTTTAAAACTTTATAAATTCTAGTGTGATTAATAAACATAATTAGTAATATATAAATTTTTAATGAATTAATTAAAATTCATTTCTTTAGGTTGCCAACAATTAAGATATATATCCCAACAGCAAGCACAAATTTTGGGCGCAGTAGAAAATTCTTTCATACCAGTTTGTACAGAAGATGGACAATTTGAACAAATTCAATGTAATAATGCAACTGGTATATGCTGGTGTGTAGACCAGCAGGGATTTGAAGTAGCTGGAACACGTTCTAACTCTTTTAATCTAGTCAATTGTAACGGTAAGTCATTTTTGATAGTTTCATCTTTCTTTGTTTAAAGCAAAAAGCTTTACAGGAATATGAAACGTATGTAATATGTTTATTAAAATTTTTAAAATGTTGATGCTATTATCAGAATTGGTTTTTAAATTTTAAAATCATTTTGTTTAATTTTTCAGTATATTTTTATACAGAAATGAAAAAATATATTTTAAAGTTTATGTGGAGACATTTTAATCTTTTTAAAGCATTAAATATTAAGAATATAAAGAAGTCTTCATGGTAGATTTGCTCAATAAATGATCAAAAACTTTTTTCAATATATCAAGTTCAATATATTTTCTTTTATTTTATAATAAAATATTAAAATCTAAATCTATATAGTTAAAATAATGTGGCATATCAAACATGTTTATAACACAACAGAAATTACAAATCAAATTTTGTCTTTAATTAAGTAAGAAAAATAATGAAACAAAAACTTAAATTTAAGTTTTATTATATACTTTTGTCAATACCATCATGAAGATTAGATATTCAATATCAGTAAATAAGATACAGTATATAAAAATTCAATTTAGTTTGAATTGATCAAATGTTAAAATAATAAATTATAGTATTTTATAAGTATAAATTATTTTAAAATTTATGTTTGTAATTGATATATAATGATTATGTATACAATATATACAGTAGAACCTTGTGATGTTAACTAAGTAAAAATGTTTTTTACTTAATTTAGATAAAAAAATTAATTACACCTTTTAGTTCAACAATTGTAATGTATTTTAAAGTTGATTCATGTTAATTCAATAAATTTCAGTTTGAAATTACACTACATATAATTTCAATACATTATAATATTCATTTTGTTTTATTTTTCTAAATGAAAACAACAATAAGTATTCCATGAATATTTATATTTATATTTATATTCATATATTTATATGAAGTTATTAATATTTAGTTTATTTGTTATTTAATTATACCTGTAATACTATTTAGTTAAGTAAATAAACAATATAATTTTTATTTATTTAATATCTAAATAGGTTTATCTCATAGAGATAAATATTTTCTGAAGGCTTTTATTTGCTTACATATTATCTTACATAATGAGAATTTCATTATCTAACTTTTCAGAAATGTATATATTCAAGTGCTTTAAAATATAATGAAAAGAATTTAAAATAAAAAAATAATATATCAATAATATATTATTTTGTTAATTGCACAATATTTTTGAAAATATTAAAAATGTTCAAAAATTAGAAAGTTGATTTGCAAATTAAATATTTGACTAGATTTATGATAGAGATGAAATACTGCTGAAAATGCTAACAAATTTTAAATAAACGAACTTTTTAAAAACTTTTTACATTAAAATTTCAAAAATTTAGAAATTATTTTACTTTAAAATTTATTATATTTAAAATGCTTAATTCATAATTCAGTAGTACCATAAATAAATTGAAGGAAAAGTTTCTTAATGGATTTCTAAATTAGTTTGACCAAATAAATGAAACAAAACAAAGCAAAGCAATACACTTGAAAACTGATTTAGCAGCCTCTTCACTGCCTTTGATAATATGATTTAAGTATTTGGAAATCTTTGAATAAACCATATCCTCTCTTTGTTTCTGACATTTGAAACGTTTTTAGATATTTTAATATATAATAATATAAAATCTCTGTAATAAAATTTTTCATCTGCCTTGAAATTAAAATTAGTGTAAAAAAATAAATAAATAAAATAAACTTACAAATAACAGTTTATACTAAAAAGTAACATATAGTACTGCACACCATTGTTCTTTTACAATCAGGAGATTATGTGTTCTTTATGAAAATTAATGACACAATGAAGAGATAATTTTTGCTATGATTGGGTGAAAAATGACACTAATAGATTTTTTCCATAAATGAATTTATAATTTTCCAAAAAAAATAATGAAATGCTTTGAAAATTTCATGTGATTATAAAATACCAATATATATTTTATTAATAATTATTTACAAACATTTGAAAAAGCATAAATACATTTTTAAAGTATTTAATAATGAAAAATCTGTACATTAAAGTGAAAAAGTAAAACAGCAATAATATAGTGCCAAATACAGTAGGATCAGCCTTTACTAATGCATTAAAACACATTTTTCAAGGTAAAAATAAAAACAATAAAATTAAATCATGAAAATTAAGCTTGGAAATTAGTATATAGAGCTTTTAAAAAATGTCTTTTACAGTATTTTAAATATATAGTATTTTAGTATTAAATAAATAAGTAAAATTATTATTATTATTCAGATACAAAAAATATAAAATCAATATGCATTATAATGATAACTTCTTGATAAATTGTAATAGGAACATAGGAACAATTTTCATAAGATTATCTATAGATTTAAAACTAAAATGACCTGTAAAATATTGCCTTCAACTTTTATGAAAACTTTATTGTTTAAGTATTATAAATTTACATTATTGTAGCTTTTTTTTAAAACTTAGTGTTTAATTTTATTTATTCTGAAGCATTAAAAATTATTAAAAATTAATTTTAATAATTAGATTAGTTTATATCAATAGAATTAATTATGAAAATAATTTTAAATGTATATTAAATTTTAGTATAAAATTATTCTAAATACCATTCATATTCTTTGCTGCATTAACTAATGGATGTATTAATATATAAACAGTATTTAATATAGATATACCCTGTTATATGTTAAAATTATTTTAGCTTACTACTTAATTTCATCCTTGCTGTATAATTTNTTATCTGTTGTTATATTTGAAAGAAATAAGATATTGAGAAGCATTAGAAGATTAAGAGATTCTAAAAGATTTACATTTGTAGCAAGCTATCACAAAAAGAAAGACAAGTGAAAGTACTGGTAATGCAAAAATAAACTTTAAAACTTTAAAAATATGAATTGTAAACAAACTAAACTAAGAAAGATTGCCAGATTCTTTAAAGACTGTTAATTTTTTAGTTTTAAAATCATATTTACATTGTTAAAAAAATTCAATTTTTAAACATTTTTCACTAAAGTAAACACACTATCTATTAATAACTTTAATCATTAAATAAGTTGAATTAAATAATTTGCATCTTGTGAAAGGTCATTAAGTGTATTACCTATTATACACATATAAATATTCAAAGTCAAACTCCCAGATTTAAGAATTAATAATTATCTTGTACATTACATTAGATTTAACTGTGCAAGTAGAAGTATGATATTTAGAGTCCTTTATTTTTCTTCAACTTTTTCTAAGTTTTTGTTGAAAACAGTAAGTAAACTATATACATCTACCAAAAGGAAAAGTAAAAGTAGAAATGTCGTATTGTATCAATGGAAAATATTGATTAGTAAGTTAATTTATTGAACATTATTAACAGTTTTTCTACTTTGAAAAATGTGAAATATTTTAAAAATGCTTTTGAATGCTTTAAGCGATTTGAAATATTGATTTGTTTATTAAAAAAAAAAAAACATAAAATGAGTTTAAACAGTGATTAAAAAGCTTTTTAAAGATTAATAGAAAATTTTTAAATCACTTCTTAATCACATGAAGAAAGACCTTCGTTGAATTACATTTAGTTAAATTTGTTTTATATTCTATTAATGTTTAAATCATTTTAACAAAATGTTAAAATGATTAAATATATTGAAACCTATAAATAAAATTCAGAATGTGTGATAAAAAAATTTTTTAAATACAAATCAAAATTTATGAATAAATAATCAGTTTAAAATGTATGATTTTATAACACAAATATTATTTTAAGGTTATCAATGATTCAAATCCTTCGATTAAAGGATATGATAAGATTAAAATAATCTCTCCTACAAAAATAATTTCTTAATACATTAGAATAATTAATTATTACGAGAATATGATTATATAATAAATTATAATCAGTATAAAAAGTTTTTAAAATTCAAATTTGTTTCAGATTTAATAAACTTGAAAATTTCTGTGTGAGACAGTTTATATCATTAAATTTATATATACTATAATATTTAATGTAATAATCAATCATTGAAAATATTTTTAAATCTATCAAATTCATTTAAAAGTTTGTTTACAGCAGGGGTGGGCAACCCTTGTCACATGTGCCAAATGTGGCATGTCAATGCTTTTCTTCTGGCATTCAACCCAGGACTTCTCTTAAAAAATAAATATCCAATATCTTTCCTGAATTGTATATTTCAACCTAATAGAATACATTTTTATTGAGTAGAGTGATACTAAATAAAAATACAATAAAGAAGTAAACATTATTAACTGTTTTAGTAATAATAAGTAATAAGAAAATGAAAGAAACATCCTATTTCCAAGACATCTATCTCTGTAATGCACTGACTTACAAGTATGGATGCCAATTTAGCAGAAAATCCACTGTCCTTATGGATTTAAACTTGCAGAGGATGGCTGTTATACATGTGAATGCAGAAATCCATGTGATGTAAGAATTAATATATTGTTTTAACATCTATTAATATTAATACAGTAAATTTAAAGTTGATTTTTTTATAACACTTTTATAATTTACTAGTATAAATTTGAGGCAAAGTTGACAATATTATAAAATGGTTAATTTTTAATGAAATTGCATTACATTACGAAAGTATAAATTAATTCAGGTTATTAAATTAAATTTAACAATAGGAAAAATGAATCAGATTAATTACACAAAATATTTAACTTATTATAATCTTAAATTATTAAAAAATTTAACTATTGAGAATTCAAATCTTGTTTTTAAAGTTTTATGTTTCAGTTATGGTTCAATTGCATCATCCAATATTACTTTTGATTATTAAATTTTCAAACAATTTTTTTTATTTGATCCATTTTCTTCTGATTATAATTATTTAGTTTTTAGTACACAATAATATTTGGTTCTTGTATTTGATATTCAGTGGCATATTCGGGATTTTGAGAATATAGGTGCTGCTCAAGGCACTTGTCCCTGTCATTTTATGGAGAATGTTACTCAATTACCTTAGAATTACTTTAGTTACCTATTTTTACTTAATTGAAGTCATGCAGTATGCATTATTGTAATTATTTTTATTTAAAGCGACAAAACTGATTGCTTTTTTATCAGACATATGTTGCAGCACCATAAGTAACTTCCTGGATGTGCTCCTGCTGAAAGTACAGTCAACCCCCCTATAACACTGTTGATTATTCCGTTTTATATGAATTCCATGTTGTACGAGTTACTTAGATTTTACAAATATGTGTGCCGGGCTGTGAGCGGCTCACGTATTTGTAAAATCTAAGTGACTCGTACAACATGGAATTCATATAAANATGTTATTTCTTACTTCTGAAATAGAAGTATGCATTTTTTTTCTTCTTAACTGAAATTATCTTTAAAAATAAAATACTTTACATTAGTTGAATAAGCATTTTAAAAAGAACTTTTTAAAACTTAATGTTTACATATATAAGATTAAATCATCTTTAATTAGTAAAAGAATTTTTTGAATTAAAAAGTCCTTTGCCAAGTATAATTAAATAATTATCTTTAACAAATCACCAATATTCAGTGATGCCTGAATAAAAATGAAAATTTATATTACGCTTATTATTGTATTAAAGAATTTTAATGATATTTATAACAATTAAAGAGAAATACTTTCGTGAGATAGTTTGATAGTGCATTGAACTTTCCACTTTGATGTCTATAGTAATCAAAGCGTTAAAAACGGAAGAAACGGTAAGAAAAGCGATCATGTAGCGTGATCTGAAAAATAATAATTTTGATACAGTTTTTTGCTGTTCTTATTAAATTAAGCGTTAAAATAATTATTTAATATGAACATTTTAAAATTCACGAAAGGCGCATTTTAAAATTGTAAATATTTCAAAAATATAAACAGTGTCAGAATACTAAAAATTTAACTTCATTCAAATGTCTTTGTTTAAAGTTAAAGTAAAGAATATTAAGAGGAATAATATAGCTTAGAATTAAATTGTTTTTTTTTTCTTTATAGAGTTATAATTAATATAAACATGTTTATCTGATTATTGAAATGATTTTTAAACTAAAATATAAAATATTTCTTGGAAAAGAATTTTGTTTCGAAGCGGTTTAAAATCCATTTTTATGGATCGTTTTCTTTCAGTCTTAAGGGGATGAGAGAGAAAATCCGAAGACACCAACACAAGTGAAATTTTAAAAAAATTCATTTTATAAGTTTTCCCTTTTTTCAATTTTTATTTCAGTTTTTGCATAGTCAAACAAATGAAGTGAATTTTTAAAAAAGTTAACGAAAAACAATCTTTCTTTAGTGATAAATTTTAAATAATCAGAATGCCAAAATTTTATTTTATAGCCAGTAAATGAACAGAAGTGCAGTACTTATCCAAACTTATTACATACAAAAGACCTTTATTGTTAGAAAAAAATTGAGAAGCGCTAGTTGAAATTGACTCAGATTGATCTAAATAGCGGGTTTATAGCTAAAAGAAATCAAGCTATTATACTTGGCCTATATAAACGGTGTGTAAATCTAAACTGAACAGAGTTTGGCCAACTGGATGGTCTTCGGTTCAGTAACTCATACACTCGGGATTTACTGTTGTCACCATCGATCTTAAGACGGTTTCCTATTAATGGCGTATCATTTCCTCTTCGTATATTCTTCCGTATTGCTTTTAACTAGTTTCGGAAGATGATTTATGGAAACTTTTAATGATAATTTTAATGCTAAGTGAGAACATTATCTAGTTTTTCTCGGTTTATTAATAATACAACACAATGAAAATGAAAATTTTAAGTGTAACTGTACACTGGGTACCGATGAGGATTACGCATTAGTCGTATTTATATAATGGAAATCGCATCTAAAGTTTATTTCTAGAGTGTTTTTTTTCTGTACAGAAATAGTGGTTTATACAAATAAATTTCGATAATGATGATATTGGAACGTTCTCTGCAGGAAAGTTCCGGGTTAAGTGTTTCTTTCGTCTAGTAGATGTTTAAGCTTTCTTAACAGGATCATAAATCTTATCAACGACAAGAATGAGCGACCATAAACCGACTCTGCGATAGCGTTAATGTATATCGCTTCTTGATTCCATAATTCATCAGCAGAACTACCATTTTACTACTATATCAACATACTGCTTAGTTCTTAATTCAACTTTGATGATTATCCCATCTGCTGCTGAATCGAAATCTAGAAATCTCGAGTTATATATAGCACTTCTGTTTTTATTAATGCTAAAAAACGATTTTGTAAATCTTCATTTGTAACACAATCGCTTAAAAATTTTCTTAAGAGATAAGTTATATATGTTAATGTATTTTAAAGCTGAAACCATAATGCTTCATAAATATCTTTGAGAGATAATAAATGTTAAATTTTGTTTTAAAGTATTTTAAATGAGCATCCTACTAATAAATTGTATTTAAAGAACTCCTGGGAGCTTAGAAAAAGTTAAGCCATGGAGAACATAAACTGTTATAAGAAAATATTTAAAAAATACTCTATAATATAATTTGAAATATGACTGAATTGTCTTCTTTCAATAAGAAAACATCTCATAAACTAATGTGCTATATGGAGATTGAATTCTTATAAATAACAGTTTAATTAGCATTATATGTTATGTTGTTATGCAATGATATTAATAAACAGCATTAAATGACAATAATCAAAAATTAAAATTTCATTCATAACATTTTTACTATGTTGCATGCAAAATGCAACAATGCAAAATGCAAAAATTTTTTATAAAACAAATTCTTATTTTAGTTTAAGTGTTGTGTTAGAATGTCATTTATCTCAAATGTATTTTAAAAATTACCTGCATCCTTGCTGTATAATTTAAATTTAAATTTCTGATTTTAGTATATATTTTTGGCATTCTATGTTTCTATTGGCTTAAAGGATTGTGAATGGAATTTCAAATTTGTACCTCTTTTGTGATGTATTCCCTTAGAGTAAACAAATGTTTCAGTTGAAGAAAACGTTAATAGTTCTTTAGTTTTTTTGAAGTTTTATTCACTTAGTTAACATCACTCCTATCATTTGTTACTGCCTTGTTTTAACATAAAGCTCCAGATGTTGTTAAATGCAATTTTATGACAGTAGGCTTATTAAGTTGTGATAATGATTAAAATTTGAAGTTTAAACAAGAAAAAAATTGTCTTCTAGTTGCTTGATTAAATCAACTTAATACATATTAATGATTAATTCAGTATGACAGAATATTCATCACTTTAATCATATATTTAAAAAAATCAATATGAAAAAAGTAAATCTACAATTTGTATTTTTATTAATGATTATTAAATGTAGGTTTAATCCTTCATTTAGAATAATTAATCAATGCTTATTTTGTAGAAAATTAAGTTTAATTAAAATTATTATATTCTTTTTAAAACTTTATAAATTCTAGTGTGATTAATAAACATAATTAGTAATATATAAATTTTTAATGAATTAATTAAAATTCATTTCTTTAGGTTGCCAACAATTAAGATATATATCCCAACAGCAAGCACAAATTTTGGGCGCAGTAGAAAATTCTTTCATACCAGTTTGTACAGAAGATGGACAATTTGAACAAATTCAATGTAATAATGCAACTGGTATATGCTGGTGTGTAGACCAGCAGGGATTTGAAGTAGCTGGAACACGTTCTAACTCTTTTAATCTAGTCAATTGTAACGGTAAGTCATTTTTGATAGTTTCATCTTTCTTTGTTTAAAGCAAAAAGCTTTACAGGAATATGAAACGTATGTAATATGTTTATTAAAATTTTTAAAATGTTGATGCTATTATCAGAATTGGTTTTTAAATTTTAAAATCATTTTGTTTAATTTTTCAGTATATTTTTATACAGAAATGAAAAAATATATTTTAAAGTTTATGTGGAGACATTTTAATCTTTTTAAAGCATTAAATATTAAGAATATAAAGAAGTCTTCATGGTAGATTTGCTCAATAAATGATCAAAAACTTTTTTCAATATATCAAGTTCAATATATTTTCTTTTATTTTATAATAAAATATTAAAATCTAAATCTATATAGTTAAAATAATGTGGCATATCAAACATGTTTATAACACAACAGAAATTACAAATCAAATTTTGTCTTTAATTAAGTAAGAAAAATAATGAAACAAAAACTTAAATTTAAGTTTTATTATATACTTTTGTCAATACCATCATGAAGATTAGATATTCAATATCAGTAAATAAGATACAGTATATAAAAATTCAATTTAGTTTGAATTGATCAAATGTTAAAATAATAAATTATAGTATTTTATAAGTATAAATTATTTTAAAATTTATGTTTGTAATTGATATATAATGATTATGTATACAATATATACAGTAGAACCTTGTGATGTTAACTAAGTAAAAATGTTTTTTACTTAATTTAGATAAAAAAATTAATTACACCTTTTAGTTCAACAATTGTAATGTATTTTAAAGTTGATTCATGTTAATTCAATAAATTTCAGTTTGAAATTACACTACATATAATTTCAATACATTATAATATTCATTTTGTTTTATTTTTCTAAATGAAAACAACAATAAGTATTCCATGAATATTTATATTTATATTTATATTCATATATTTATATGAAGTTATTAATATTTAGTTTATTTGTTATTTAATTATACCTGTAATACTATTTAGTTAAGTAAATAAACAATATAATTTTTATTTATTTAATATCTAAATAGGTTTATCTCATAGAGATAAATATTTTCTGAAGGCTTTTATTTGCTTACATATTATCTTACATAATGAGAATTTCATTATCTAACTTTTCAGAAATGTATATATTCAAGTGCTTTAAAATATAATGAAAAGAATTTAAAATAAAAAAATAATATATCAATAATATATTATTTTGTTAATTGCACAATATTTTTGAAAATATTAAAAATGTTCAAAAATTAGAAAGTTGATTTGCAAATTAAATATTTGACTAGATTTATGATAGAGATGAAATACTGCTGAAAATGCTAACAAATTTTAAATAAACGAACTTTTTAAAAACTTTTTACATTAAAATTTCAAAAATTTAGAAATTATTTTACTTTAAAATTTATTATATTTAAAATGCTTAATTCATAATTCAGTAGTACCATAAATAAATTGAAGGAAAAGTTTCTTAATGGATTTCTAAATTAGTTTGACCAAATAAATGAAACAAAACAAAGCAAAGCAATACACTTGAAAACTGATTTAGCAGCCTCTTCACTGCCTTTGATAATATGATTTAAGTATTTGGAAATCTTTGAATAAACCATATCCTCTCTTTGTTTCTGACATTTGAAACGTTTTTAGATATTTTAATATATAATAATATAAAATCTCTGTAATAAAATTTTTCATCTGCCTTGAAATTAAAATTAGTGTAAAAAAATAAATAAATAAAATAAACTTACAAATAACAGTTTATACTAAAAAGTAACATATAGTACTGCACACCATTGTTCTTTTACAATCAGGAGATTATGTGTTCTTTATGAAAATTAATGACACAATGAAGAGATAATTTTTGCTATGATTGGGTGAAAAATGACACTAATAGATTTTTTCCATAAATGAATTTATAATTTTCCAAAAAAAATAATGAAATGCTTTGAAAATTTCATGTGATTATAAAATACCAATATATATTTTATTAATAATTATTTACAAACATTTGAAAAAGCATAAATACATTTTTAAAGTATTTAATAATGAAAAATCTGTACATTAAAGTGAAAAAGTAAAACAGCAATAATATAGTGCCAAATACAGTAGGATCAGCCTTTACTAATGCATTAAAACACATTTTTCAAGGTAAAAATAAAAACAATAAAATTAAATCATGAAAATTAAGCTTGGAAATTAGTATATAGAGCTTTTAAAAAATGTCTTTTACAGTATTTTAAATATATAGTATTTTAGTATTAAATAAATAAGTAAAATTATTATTATTATTCAGATACAAAAAATATAAAATCAATATGCATTATAATGATAACTTCTTGATAAATTGTAATAGGAACATAGGAACAATTTTCATAAGATTATCTATAGATTTAAAACTAAAATGACCTGTAAAATATTGCCTTCAACTTTTATGAAAACTTTATTGTTTAAGTATTATAAATTTACATTATTGTAGCTTTTTTTTAAAACTTAGTGTTTAATTTTATTTATTCTGAAGCATTAAAAATTATTAAAAATTAATTTTAATAATTAGATTAGTTTATATCAATAGAATTAATTATGAAAATAATTTTAAATGTATATTAAATTTTAGTATAAAATTATTCTAAATACCATTCATATTCTTTGCTGCATTAACTAATGGATGTATTAATATATAAACAGTATTTAATATAGATATACCCTGTTATATGTTAAAATTATTTTAGCTTACTACTTAATTTCATCCTTGCTGTATAATTT